ATATAATCAATTGAACAGTGTACGCGTTTGCTGAAAAAATTGCGGAATATTCAAACACTTCGAAATTGCTATTCTTTCAATAGAAAATTATTACACAAGTTGTCAACATTTTGATTTTATTTTCTGATTTGTTTGCAAACTGATATTATTTAATAGTAAAGTAGTGATGACGCATGTGATTTTTTAATAACATATAATATAAATTAATTATATTGATTTAATTTCATTGATAAATTCTATATTTTTTTCAATAACAATTATACTTTAATCTCCACGAAAACACAAAGAGTTTCTTGATTACTATACGCAGTGTTGGTGGAAAACAAGTATTTATCACATTGTAGAAGATATACTTTTTGATTAGATATTGAGGAAACCAATTTTTCAAGTAGATGAAAATTTATTTTATTGTTATTTGATTCCTTTATTTTTTGTTTCATTTTTTTGTATTTTATTTTATTTTTTGTATTTTATTTTAATTTATTTTAATTTATTTTATTTAATTTTTTGTATTTTTTTTATTATATTTTATTTTATTTTATTTTATTTTATTTTATTTTATTTTATTTTATTTTATTTTATTTTACTTTATTTTATTTTATTTCATTTTATTTTATTTTATTTCATTTTATTTTATTTTATTTTATTTTATTTCATTTCATTTTATTTTATTTTATTTTATTTAAATTTTTTTTTTTAATTATATTAGTTTATTTATTATATAGTATGTTATTTTATTTTATTGAATTTTATTTTAAAATATTTTATTTTGTTTAATTTGATTTTACTTTATTTTAGTTTATTTTTTATACTTTACTTTATTTATTTTTTATTTTATTGTGTCTTACTTTATTTCATTTTGTCTTATTTTATTTTAGCTTATTTTGTATTTTTTTTAAGTTACTTTTATTTTTATTTATGTTATTTTGTTTTATTTTATTTCACTTTAATTTATCTAATTTTTTAAATTTTATTTAATTTTATTTAATTTTATTTTATTTGATTTCATTACATTTTATTTTTCTTTATTATGTTTATGGGAATGTCCACCCCTCCGATTGTATTTCGGACATGAAATTAAAGGCTCCTCTTAAAAATCATCAGCCCTTCGGAGGCGGCTTAGTACAAACTGTAAGACCGTCCATTGGTTGGGAAAAACATCAACACGCAAAAACTACAAATTGGAGGAGGAGCTCGGCCAAAAATCGCTTAAGCGACTACAAAGCGCCAATTATATGTGTTTTAGTTTATTTTATTTAATTTTTTTATTTTACTTTCTTTTGTTATTTAAATATATTTTATTTTATTTGACTTTATTGCAATTTCTATATCTTACTCCTTTTTTATAACAAACTAACCATACTAATGCAACGTGTTTTTAGCCACTTGCCGGAGGGTTAGTGCCGATAAGATAGTAACTACGTGAAATAGCGCGTCAATTCACGTTATATTTTTCTGATTGACATGGGCATATCCTTAAAGAGATATCGGACATATAAACAATCGGTATACGACTGTCTATACGTATGTGCCTGGGCTCGATAAGATAAGCTGTTGGCTCTGAATCTGATTTCAGTCAGATTATTTAAAATTTAAGGTGTTCTGTCAATAACTTTTGGAGTGCACAAAGTGATACGGATGCTTCTTATAATCTCTGAAAATGCTCAGAGTTTCCTTCATAAAATATCTTTCATTTAGAAGAAACTAAAACATAATGAAACTTTTTGGGGAATATTTTAAAATTTCAAGTTTTTATTTGGATGTATTGTTTTGGAGGTATGCTTTCTTACTTGACAAAAATAATATTAATTTTGAAATACGCCTTCGTCAGTTTCGTGCTAATTCAATCATATTTTGCATATATCCGCACAAATTGAATTTTTGCATATGTCTAATTTTAATTTATTTGGTTTGTTTTTCTTATTGCTTATGCAAATAAAAACGATTGATGTATATTAATAAAACATATGGTTCACACTTGCGTACTGGCATATATAACAGTAGAGGTTTTTTGTTTATTTTTTATTTCACTCATTCACTAAATGAAAATTACCGGCAAGTTACCCCAGGCATATACTAGAGGCTGAGGCTCCTCCTAAGCAGTCTCCCTTACACACCCACTCATACTCAAGTACATATAAATTATATGAGCATTTGTTTGTTTACTTCTATTAATATATGCATATATATAACTATGAACTCATATAAACGCAAGGACGAGTAAATTTTCAAATGTATTGGTAATGAAATTTTCCACAGTCGGGCATTCGGTCAACGCTTCAAGGAAGTCAATGAACGAGATGAAAATATTAAAGGACAAAAAAAATTAAGTTAAAATAACTATATTAAAATAATTAATTAATTAAATGAATAAATTAACATAAAATAAAATAAAATGAAATAAAATAGAATAAACAAATACAATAATAATAACTTAAAATAAAATAAAGTGAAACCAAAGTAAATTAAATAAAATAAGATTAAATAAAAAAAAATTAAAAAAAATAAAATCAAATAAAATAATATAAAATAAAATAAAATAAATAAAAAAAATAAAATAAAAAGAAATAAAATAAAATAAAATAAACTAAAATAAAATAAAATAAAATAAAATAAAATAAAATAAAATAAAATAAAATAAAATAAAATAAAATAAAATAAAATAAAATAAAATAAAATAAAATAAAATAAAATAAAATAAAATAAAATAAAATAAAATAAAATAAAATAAAATAAAATAAAATAAAATAAAATAAAATAAAATAAAATAAAATAAAATAAAATAAAATAAAATAAAATAAAATAAAATAAAATAAAATAAAATAAAATAAAATAAAATAAAATAAAATAAAATAAAATAAAATAAAATAAAATAAAATAAAATAAAATAAAATAAAATAAAATAAAATAAAATAAAATAAAATAAAATAAAATAAAATAAAATAAAATAAAATAAAATAAAATAAAATAAAATAAAATAAAATAAAATAAAATAAAATAAAATAAAATAAAATAAAATAAAATAAAATAAAATAAAATAAAATAAAATAAAATAAAATAAAATAAAATAAAATAAAATAAAATAAAATAAAATAAAATAAAATAAAATAAAATAAAATAAAATAAAATAAAATAAAATAAAATAAAATAAAATAAAATAAAATAAAATAAAATAAAATAAAATAAAATAAAATAAAATAAAATAAAATAAAATAAAATAAAATAAAATAAAATAAAATAAAATAAAATAAAATAAAATAAAATAAAATAAAATAAAATAAAATAAAATAAAATAAAATAAAATAAAATAAAATAAAATAAAATAAAATAAAATAAAATAAAATAAAATAAAATAAAATAAAATAAAATAAAATAAAATAAAATAAAATAAAATAAAATAAAATAAAATAAAATAAAATAAAATAAAATAAAATAAAATCAAATTAAGTAAGATTAAATAAAACAAAATAATGAAAAAACGAGTATGAAATAAAATAGAAGTTGATACTTTGATAAAAGAGTTTAAAGTAATATGTTAACAAAAAATTTAAAATGTTATAATAAGAAAAATAAAATTTTATGTATATTTGAAAAAATATTAAAAATACATATATATTTTTTATGTAACTATTTTTGTTTTAATTTGAAATGTCTTGTGTAGAAAAAAATTCGTTGGCCATTTTGTTGCAGAGAGTGAATTGGTTGTCATTGAAAATATTATAAATACTTTGAACTTATATTACTTTCTTTTTTCATTGTTATTTATAAACCAAATAATTATCTTTCAAATTTCTTGATCGTCAATTAGTTTTTTGTTTCTTAAGACGAAACTTCGTTCAAAGGCAGCATTATCTATTGATTTATATTGGCGAATTCCAAAGGTTTGCTTGGGTCATCATAAGAGAGTATTGTGATGAAAGCAGGATGGTATGTATGTTGGCCTATAGGAAAAATGGCGACTTGGAGATTGCTGCTTTTATTTGGTTAAAATTTCATCAAAACTTTACCTTTTGCATACTTTCTGGCGTTCTTAAAATACGGCTGCATTCACTTCTTAAATGGGTTATAAGTTTAAATTCGTTTTCTTTTAGGTTACACATTAAATTAAGCAAAATTTCAATCGATTTAATACTGTTCGAGCTAATGAGGCTTAGAAATAATATATGCAGAACAGAACTCAATAGGGGTTTGTGATTTTACAACCGAGATCTGGTAGTATGTTGTTAAGCTCTTTTAGTAGAAAGAACTCAGTTTTTGCCTGTTATTCAACTAATTTATAAATAATTTCTTGAATAGACATCTCAACTATACATACATATATATGCTTATATATACTCTGTTCACCTACTTGCAATCTTCCCTTATGCACACATTCATACATACATCTCCACTTAAAATTATCATAACTCAACACAGTTAATGTGCTATTGCCTTTGAGCCACAAAAATCAAAATGTAACGACTTCAATAAAACACATAGAATTATGAAAAAACAGCTACAAAAATACGTGCGAATTGGCAAAGAGCGCAAAAAAAAAGAACAAACACACAAATATGTATGGCATAACAGAAAAGATAAAATTATAATCAATGCATGGCAAAACAACAACAACAATAAAAAATCACATCAAATCAAACACGCATCCATAAGTCATATGTATGTATATGTACGGCTTCGGCGGTCGGATTGGGTGACCTGCTGTATAACGAAACAAAAAGATGTATAAGTGTGAAAGTGTATGTAAGTACATAATCTTGCTGTTTGTATTAGTAAAGGCACGAGTAGATGTGACTGTGGCTGACTATCTGTTGCTTGCGCTTTCATACAAACATACGCACAAGCAAACAAACATTTTGGCGTGTGGACATATACGAGTATGTATGTGTTTTTGATCACTTATGCATGTATGTCTGTATGCCTGTAATATTTCAAGTACCACCCGACATGCCTACTTAACGACGTAAATTAAATATAAGTATAAATGAAATAGTTATGTTAACGCTTTGCTTAGTTGGCTAGAAATTGTCGCATGGAGCACATCTATAAATGGCTTAACGAAAAATAATAACATTATATAGAATATGTATATCAATCAAAACAGAAAAACAAATAAACAAATAAATTAATAATAATAACTACAACACGAAATTAACGCAACATTTGAACGGAAATTTGTAATTTATACGCAAGACGTCCGTTATTAAAGTGAGTGTTTCGTTTGGTTTGGCGCTTGTCGAATGTAAAAGAAATTTAAATCTTGTATGAACGAACTGAAAACACGAAAGCTGTTTCTTAGTGCAGGCCTAAAAATGCTATGTTTCTAAAAGTTTCAATTAGAGTTTTTGAAAAAATAATTTTACAAAGTAAAAATCTTAAATAACACAATTGAAGTTAAAAAAAAAATTCAATTTCTTATAAATAAGATTAAAATCCAATAAAATAATGATGCTTCATATTTTAATTACATCGTTAATAATTTATGTGCTATCTGATATAGAAATGTGAAGTGAAAAATTGCAAATTGCATGGAGGATAATTTTGAAACATTTTTAAAAACAGCAAAAAATAAAATAAAATAAAATAAAATGGAATTAATTAAAATTTTAAATTTTTCCATATTTAATCTGCTGTGTTCGGGAGATAATTTTTTATAATATGACAAGAAATAAATTAAAAAAAAAATTAAATAAAGTTATAAAATGGATTCTAGAAATATTTTGTGTGAAAATAATATTTATAAAAATATTTTACCTTAAAAAATTAGATTAAAAATAAATATATATATAAAAATAAGTTACAAAAAATATAAAAAAGTTTAACTATATATATAAATATCTATATAGTTGGCGCATTGTAACCCGCTGAAAATATTTTTCACGCGAGATCCCCCTGCAATTTGTTGTTCTGCGATCTCATGTTCAATTTTCCATAAACTTTTGGACATTAGTGGCACCGGGATTTCAACCCAAGCCTTCCGAATGCCAGTTCGCAATGCTAACCACTCGAATACCGCGGTCGCCAAAATATTAAATGATTAAATTAAATCCCAACTAAAAAATTTAAATAAATAGTGCTGGTATTTCGGTGCCCTTAATAATTTCTAATAATTTTTTAATTTTTAGAATTTCAAATATCTTTTTATTTTATTTTTTATTACACATATAAACTAAAAATTAAAAATTAATCAATTCAATATCCATAAAAGAAAGATTAATTTTTTAACTTAAACCTGTACTTCAACCTCAAAAAAAAAAAAAATGTTTTCTATTATTTTCAAAAAATCATCAAATGCGAAAAAGACAAAAAATAATGTTATGAAACTTAAACTAACTGCGTTTAAATCAGTTACTGCTTCATAAAATAAAAGTATTCAATTCTGCTATAAGGAAAATTAATTTATTAGAAACAAAATATTTTATTTAAATATAAAGAATATATAATACAAATGCTTTAGAAACAAAAGTTTTAGCTAAAATTTCATCTAATAAAAATAAAAAAATTATAAAAATAAAAATAAAATGCGAATAGTATTAAAAAAGAAGAATATTAATAAATTTGTTTGCCGATATTTACAAATGTCAAAAACACATGATATTGCCTAATAGAGAACTGTTGAAACTTAATTAAATCACTTAAAATTTTTTTTATAAAATTAAATGTTCACGAAAGAGAAATTTTTAATAAAAAATTTTTAGAGATTTAAAAAAATCATATATTAGAAATCGCAGAAGAAATTTTTAGCTATAATAGATTTAGTTAAAATAGTATTAATTTTTAGTAAAAAATAATAAATAAAGAGGAAATGAAAAATAAATTCATAAAATAAAAACCGATTCGAAAATTAGACATGTATGAAAAAACCCTCTATTAATCCCAACAAACCCACAATTAAATAAATCGCCAAATCATAACATTGAAAAGAAACATTTACAACAATGAAGTTAATAAAATAGACAATTGATAAACAAATTTATTGCATAGAAAATACCTCTAATTTAATGCATAACTATATTTAACAAAAAATATAGTTAGATAATTAATACACCAAATGTGACAGAAAATATAAAATTCAAAAAATTACATTCATTTAAATGGATGACAGAAAAATTATAACAGCAAAAATATAAACATGCAATAAACTCATTTGCAAGTTCATAAAACAGGAACATTTAAGCTCAGAATGGATGACATTAGAAAACAAATTAAAAAATTATATATATACAAGAATGAAAAACAGATATACAAAAATAAGTATTACACAAATTAAAGCCTTAGGAGAAATAAAAATAATATAAAATAAATAAAGAAGAAATTTAAACAAAAGAGAAAAGAGTTTTTTATTAAATTAAAAATGTTAAATAAAATGAAAACTTTTATTCAAAAAAAAAAAAAAAAAAAAAAAAAATAATAAAAAAAAAAAAAAAAACTAAAGAAATAAATTAAAAACTTTCACTTTCTTTGGCTCTCTCCTACATTTTATTTATTTCTCATTGTTTTTTTATTTAAATTTTATTTATTTATTGTTGATTTTCACTTTTATTGTCTGTTCACATAATAATAGATTTTATTTTGTTTAACTTTATTTTATATTATTAAATTTTATTTAAAATATTTTAATTTATTTTAATTCAGTTATAGTTATTTTATTTTGAATTATATTTTCATTTAATTTACTTTAATATTATATAATTTTATTTTAGTTTATTTCATTTTATTAATTATTATTATTTATTATTTGATTCTTATTTATTTCATTTCATTTAAATCAAATTTATTTGCTTTTATGATTTAATTATTATTATTTTTTCATTTCCTTTGAATTATTTTTAATTTACTTAATTTTAATTTATATTATTTAATTTTTTATTATTTTCTTTTATTTAATTTTAATTTTTTTTTTTTATATATTATATTATTTTGTTTAATGTAATTCTAATTAACTTTATTTTATTTTATTTTGAATTATTTTTCAGTAAATTTTCTTTTCATTTATTTCATTTTGTTATTTTTATTCTTAACTGTAATTAAACAAATCTCGTTCCCAACTCTGCTGCTGCCTCGCTTTCTGCGCTCGCCTGAATGCCACTTGTTGCATTTGTTCGTTGCTCACTCGGTGAATAACCAAAATGGACATAGGGAAGAACAGCTGCTAACTAATGACATTTATTAACTAAACGCACACATATTTATGTATATACACCGCGCTTAACTAAACTTATTAAACTTTGCACAAAGCGCCAAACAAATAAATAAGCTTTAATAGCGAAAATAAAATTAAGTAAAGAGGAGAATTACAGAATAAGCAAACAAAAATTAAACCAAGTCGACACCACGCGGTTAAACAGATAGGCAACAGACAATTGAGAGCGCACAAACAATTAATAACACAATAACAGTGGCGACTACCAATCAAGAGCGAGCACAACAACAAACCGCAGAGTGCATCCACTTGTCGCCGTCGTCATCACCGTCACCAAAAACGTGTCCGCATTAGAAAGTCGGCCTTGTTGTTTGTTGGCCGACGACTGGTGTTTGGCGTTTGGCGTTTGGCGCTCGCGCATTTGCTATAAATCGTTCATCAAGCAACTGAATGCAACGATAAGCGGGCGAAACACGCTCACACGCCGAACGCAACGAAGCGAAACAAACAAACAAAGAATTTGCAACGATTTAGTAGCGCACAGCGAAGCAGCAGCAGTGGTGCGACAATTAAAGTAGTGATTAAAAAATGTTTTAAATGTGCAAAAAAAAATATACAAGAAAAAGAAAAAATATAAAACAAAACAAAGTGAACGAACAATAAAAATAAAAATATATATAAAAAATGTCAAAATAATAAAAAAAATAAAAAGAAAAATTGACATTTTGGCCGTTCGAAGCTACAAACACTAGTGTTTTCAGTACCAAAACGAACTGTAATTAATTTAAAAAAATATATAAAAAATTATTAACTATTGACGCATAAAATTATTATTTTTTCTTTTTTTTTCAGTGTAATTGGTATTAAGTGCATATATTGACGACAACGGGAGATTATATTAGAGTGAAATATTTTTTTACAATAAAAGTATTTACACACACACACAAATGTATTAAGGAAGACTAAATAAAAAGAATACACAAAGCAACTTCAAAGCGTATATTTTCGTGCCAATTTCCAGTATTTTATACAGCCAACTCAAAAAGCAAAACCAAAATAAAATTCAAAACAAACAAAATGACGGTGAAAAAAATTTGGCCAGCAAGTGCTGCCATGAATGTGGACTCAACAGCGGCGCTCGCCGATAATGAAGCGTCCGGCAAGGCTGGTGGTAAGTAAAGTTTTGCAGTACAAATATAATTAGATTTTAGTTAAGGTTTAAAAGTAGAATCAAGAAACTTATTTCAAATACACACCTTAAAGTCATTCAACTCAAAACGCTCGCATAAAAATATATAAAGAATATTTAATGCAAGAAAATAAATGGGAAAAATTATAAATAAAAGAGCAAGGGCACACCCTACACCCGAACCACTACAAATTATTTTAATATTGCATGAAAACTGCTATGAAAACTTTAATTAACTGTTATGAATATTATTTAATTATTACCTAATAAATTCTAATTAGTAATTGTTGCATAAATAATTGTCTACAGCACTGCTGTGCTGAATCCGGGAATGAGATTGGTTAAGCTTTTCCTTGCCCTTAACAATAGCAATTCAATTATTCATTAATTAATAAAAATGGGAAAATAAAAATTAATAAATTATTGAAAGAATTAAATAGAATAATTTGTGTGAAGCCGTTGACTGATTTAGCGCACGGAAACCCTCATAGCAGAGCTTATTTTGAAAGCGTAATGAGGCTTAAATATTATATTCTTTTTTTTAAATTTCCTTATATTTTTCTTGAACATTTTATAGTAAATTTATTGTTGTACGAAATAATCGATATTAGGTATTATACTCACTCAACCATGAAATATTCACAGAAACAGTTGAAGTGCATAAACAAATATTTTGATTAAAAAAAATTGCCAACTTTTTGTATTATTTTACGGCAAAACGGTATAGATAAATACATATTACAATAACATTTATTTGTATATAAGATTTCTATTATTTTCTAGTTCATTGAGCCCTTTTTTATATTAACACATATATAACATATATATATATATATATACGCATGAGTGTACCTAAAGAGATGTAAATATTTAAAAATAATGGTGGCCAAAGGTCGTTGAGAAATTGGCAAATTTTGGTCAGAACAGAATATTATAATAAGAAGTGTAATAAAAAAATTGATATATAAAACACATTAAAAAAATATTATGTAAAAGAAATATAAAAAAAATATAATAATAATAACAAAAGCAAAAATTTATAACAAAATTATTTAAATAACAATTAAATTTATTACAGGTTAAAAATATGAATTTTGATTGTTTATAATCAAAATTCATATTTTTAACCTGTTATTAAAAGCGCATGACTGTGCATACTTTTCTAATCAAATTGCTTTTTTTTGTTTTTTTTTTAATAAAAATAAATTAGTAAATTTATTACAAACAAGTTTGACGATATATAACTGAAGTAAAAAAACTGCTTAAAAGATATGAAATATTTAGCTTCTCTTCTCAGGCGTTGTTTTTTATGTTTGATTTCAATTAAAAAAATATATTAAAAAATAAATATTATTTTTATAATTCTTTGTTTAATTTTTAAAATAAAAATTTGCAAACATATAGCGCATAATAATTTTAACTTTACTTGGACTTTTTCAATGTAAAAAAGTAAAGAAGAAGAATTATATATATTGACAAAAATAAATATTAATTAATTAGATAACATTTTTTTTTAACTCAGGTAGATTATTGAGACCCAATAATTAAAGAAACAAATAAATAATTTATTTATTAATTTAAAAATTAGAAATAGAGTAATAATAAAAACAATTTAAATAGAATTTTTTATTACTTTTTTACTATTTTATTTTACATATAAATATCACGCATAACAATTTTAGCTAGATTTCAATAATTTAAAAATTTGTTTAGTCATAAATTATTTTCATATTTTTCCGAAATATTATTAGTGCAATGCAAGTGATATTTTTTATATAGTAAGAAAGTAAATAAATGTTAAAAAAAAATATTTGTCCTACACATACATTTTTTTCTAATTTTTTTTTTGCGTTCAAAAGCTATGGGAAATAAAGCTATAATGCTTACTTTGCAAGCAATAAATTTTTATTATATATAAGTGTAAAAAGTTTTTGATTTTTCATACAAAATTAGATTTATTAACTTTTTTCATATATAAGTAAGGCAAATATTTTTTAGTACAATTCGGTTTTTTTTTGTTTTCAAAATTTAAATATAAATAAAAAAAATAGAAAATTAAAATAAATATAAAAATAAAAAAAAAAACATTGAAATTAAATTTAATAGTCTGTAAGCACTAACTACAATTAAAAACCTGCGTAAAAATATTAAATATTTATTTTAATAGCCCAACAATTAAAACTTTTGTTTTGAACAAAAAACATAATTAAAACGCATTTGCCTTGCTATGCTTTATGCTAAAGGTGATTTTTTTGCTATTATCTTTTTGGCAACACTGGATTAAATAGCTAACGCACGTATCGGGCCTTGTATTACTGTCAAAAATCTTCAGTTTGATTTATAATTTAACCATGAATCGTCTTACAAAAGAACAACACTTGCAAATTATTGAATTTTATTATCTGTCAAGTAAGCTGCGAGAGCTACCATTGCCGCCTAGATCGTGCGATTTAACGCCTTAAGACTATTTTTTGGAGCTATGTCAAATCTTAGGTCTATACAAACTAACCCGCTTCAATCGACGCATTGAAATGTTGGAATGAGTGTGCCAATATTGGACTAAGCGGGTGAAACATCTGAGGCGAAGTCACTTTCAACATTTGCATGAAATAATATTTAAACATTAAAATATGTGGTTCTATCGATTCAAATAAAATTTCACACATTTTTCAGAATTTTATGTGTTTTTTTGAAGATCTTTCCTATAGCTTCTCAAAAATAACCCTTTAGTTCCATCCTAAATGGGTAATTCTGTAGAAAACTACAAAACTTACAATGCAAATATGAAAACTTTTTTATGAGTTCGTGTGCAACACAACTTTATTTTTAAATTGATGTGCATTTCACTCAACAAAAAATACTATTTTTACTCTATTAACCTAAAAATTGTGTTATTTTTATGAGCACATTTTAGCTTAAAATAAAAAATAAAAACAAGTGATCTTACATTTCCAGAAGTTAGTTTAGATCAAAACATGAATAAATTTGATAAATAAATTGTATAAAGTAAACAAATTTAATTGAACAGAAATTAAAATAAAATAATAAAGACGTGGTAAAAATATTGCAATTTATTACGCTGGAAAAAAAAATTAGAAATATATATTTTCAAAACCAGTTAAAGGTGCCTAATATTAATCAATGCTTAAAAACACTACTAATTTACTAATATATATTTATTAGTTTACCCTAAAAACTAATTAAAACTGCCGACAGCACCTAGAGTCGTAATTTTGTAACGCTCCATTGCTGTTGAGATCAATACTTTATTTTTCATGTCTATTACTGTCTACACTTGAATGATATTTGAATGCGGAAAACGTGCAAAAATTTGTTAAAAAAAAAACAATTATAAAAAAATATATATTTAACTTACTTACTTACATGCAATACACGCTCGAGTAATTGTGTTTTTGTGTCATTTTACGCAGTCTTTTTTTATTTCTTTCTTTTTTTTTGTTTATTTTCTTTAACTTTAATTCTTGTTGCCTTATTTGGCAAATGCGTCGCTTATGTTGATAGGTATACAAATACATATATATATAACTAGCATGCTTATGGCATAAATATGTATGCGTGTTTGTGAGTGACTTTAAAGAAATTTGAATTGCTTAAAAAGAAAATTAAAAAGTCTTAAGAAACAAAACTAACCACAAGAGAAACAAGTGGCTTTTTATCTCTTTCTTTTTTTCTTTTTGTTTATTGTTTTTTTATATTTCCTTACCAAGATTTAAAATAATGTGCCTTTAAAGAAACGCCCATCAGCCGAAACATGTTAGCGCAAAAATTCCCCATTATTGCTTATGTTAGTTGCCAAATCATGATTTAAATATCGTAAAAATCCCCGACGATGATTTTAAATTTTAGGGTGAAACGCATACAAGTTTAACGCTTTGAAAAATGTGTTAAAAAAATGCAACAAAAAAAAAATATATAATTCAAAAAAAAAAAAAAAAATTAATCAAAGAAAAAGCTGAGTCTAAATATAAACAAAACCTGAATAAAATATGCGATAATCTGGTTGAATTTTTTTTTATTTTTTCTTTCAATATTACAAAGCATTGTTTTAGAGATTCTTTATTTCTATGTAAATTACTCAGATTTGCTCTGGCACCAAAAAGCCGGATGAACTCATTATCCACATTTTTTTTTAACAAATCTTACATGGAGTCTTTGGTAGGGATCGGTAAAAATGTTTCAGGAAAACTCTTTAAAATTAAGGTCGAACGATTCTAAGTGCATTAGTGGAAATTATTGGCTTATAACTCCTGCCTATAATCAAACCCAATTAAACGAGGGCTGTCTTATATAATTCGGTCATAGATCTGCCTAAAACAAACTCAGTGAAGGTCGTCCAAGATCAGTTGTTGTTTCGAAAATTACTGAAGCTATACGAAAACTTATACAGCAAAATGGATAAAGGCATTAGAGGGAGCAGAATATAATCAATAATCACTGAGTATTTATCTACAATATAAGAACACCTTGTTCACGTAAGATCCCACGCAATTTGTCAGTCGCTCAAGAAAGAAAACCTCGTGCTGATTGTTCAAGAGAAATATGAAAGTAATACGATAGTGGTGCTTCGAATTATAATTAAGACTGCGAGACAGCTGATGAATCACAGTTGTATGCGTATAAGCCCGAAAGTAATTAGGGGTTTTTAGAGATGAGCCGAATCCAACAAAATGTATCCACGCACGAAGCAAATAGTTGCATGTTTTCTTGGAAAACTGGGGATGTCATAACCATAATACAAGAAAGGCGCAAAATAGTATATTATGAGGGGTGCGCAATCAATCCTTTGCGGATTGTGTTTCATAAGAAACCTAACCGCCGAAGATGAATCACTCTTCAACACGAAAGATAGAGGCCTCTCGCATCGACTGAAGAAACGGAATTTTTGAGAGCACAAAACATCGATTTGATGAGTCATCCATCGTATAGACCTGACTCGGCACAGAATGTGTTTTTTTTCCCGC